TGAAAAAATGGCGATATATTTCCAAGGTCAGGATGGTGAATGGCTTGGAGAGAAACTTGCAGGTGGTGGTGTTCCCATTACCTGATGCCCTTGTCCTTCTCGATGGACAAAGTCAGAGATCTCATGACACTAGATTATAGTCCAATAGGTTTATTTAAAATCAACTCACCTGAGAAGGAGCAGCGTTTTGAAAGCTTGTGATTTTAAATAAACCTGTTGGACTATAACCTGGTGTCGTGTGACTTCTGACTTTGTCCCCCCCAAGTCCGACACTGGCATCTCCATATCATGGCTTCTCCGTGGAAGTAGATGTGTGTTTGGCAGGTACTGTCTAAAGGCCTTTGGTGAATTTCTGCAGTGCGTCTTGAAGACAGTACGCACTGCTGTGATTGAGCATCAGTGGTATATACAGGTAAGATGATTAATTGGTCATTTGGTAACTGAAAAAGTATTTGTATTTGATGTGGTGACCCATGGAGTAGTGGAGCTAGAGCAAAAGTACACTGCTCGAGTCTTGGTTAAAAATTTATTTTGATTTCAATCTCTCTAACTGGTTTGAGATCTACTGATGAGCTTTGATCCTCCAGGTCAATGAATGATTGAATTTATTTGAAACTGAATGGAACACCTACCCTCATGTGAGGATGAAGAATATTTAACAAAAACTTTATAGATATTGGCTCTAGTTGCCATTCTGGGCTAAAAACAGGCAAAATTACCAATTTTTACTGGTAATTGTCACATGTCCTAATGATGTCTGAAATATTTCAACAACCACACCATGCTTGATTTTACGGTGACTATCAAACAAACATTTGGCCCCTTGCATATTTTCATGAGGGACTGACCATCTGTCTTAAATTGAGGTGCAGTGCCACATCCTGATTTTCCTATCATGAAAGCAATTTAACCTGTTGCTGTCAGTTCATCTTGTCCCATGGCACTCCTGAAAGTTGCTTCCACCTTATAATTCTACCCGACTGAACTCCCCTCCAGCCAATTCCAATTTGCAATGGGCACTGTCTGTACACTTTTATTTCTGGTCATCAATGATCTCTGCACTGGGGTGTACAGAGAGACATCTCTGAGAACTTTGCTGTGAGTTTTCCCTGTGAGTTTTCCTGGAGCTGGGGCAGGGAATCGGTTGCAATGGCCAGATTTTCCAAGACACCAAGAAATGCATGTGCAGCAAACAATTGTCTTGCCTCGGTGAGGAGATGACCAAGACACATTGTAGGCACTGAGGAGATTGTTTCAGAAAGATTCCATCTGTCGTTACTTTCACCTTTGAACAAATACAAGAACTGAAATGTGGGTACAATAAGCAGCCATGTTGGAATAATCACAGAAATGTAGCTTTTGTGTAACAATTAGGACTGGCATGCAATTCTGTATGAAAATTTCTTCAGTCAGATAATTAAAACTGATTACTATCTGTGAAGACTGTATTGCAAAATCATTCAGTATAACATCTTCCTTATCAAGGACCAGACAAAAGACAGAGACTGTTACCATGGTGACTGCTGTGACAATTTTTTTTGCAAACAGGAGATAATTTTGAAGAACTACCAGTTTGTACATGCGCTAAAAAAAATCACAAGGAAAGCTTTGTTGGCCATTCATCATTGATGCATGCTTACATGAAAAATTTCCATCTGATATTCTAAGTAGCTGAATAATATTAACCTTATTGTAATCTATTGAGTCAGTGAAAATACCCGAGGATATCACAGTTTTCATTATAAATGTGGTGAAAAATGAAGAACGTAATTTGAGTTACAGCTGAGATTGATCGCTTACTTATGGGCACAACATATTTCATTTCTTGCTGTGTAATTCAGTGATCAGAGGGGGCCCCACCTGTGTAAAATACTAACTTGCCTCTGAAGCCTATTCATAAAGTGCCTGGCTGTGCTGCAAAACCATCAGAGGAAGTCAGCCAGGAGGGTGCGAGCACCTGCTGGTCAGTTTTGGCAGTGCAGTTGCAACAGGATGCGTCGTACGCTCAAAGAGATTGAGTTGCAAGTCCTGAGGAAAGATCTGCAAGTGAGGGGTGTGGCTCTAATGCTGAAATTGTGTGCACAGTTTCTGGGTGGATGTGGATTTGCAGGCATGCCCTTCAATTTCTGATGAAACGTTCTCCTTACATCCATTTTTTTTGTCCTGAACAAACTGACCACCTGTAGCCGGTGATATTCAGAAGTGGCAATTCAAAAAGTTGCACATTGGCAATATTTGGGGGGTGACTGAACAGGATTTCAAAGGGGTCAGAGTGATAAAGGCAGACTTATGGGAAGGGGATAGAATGGACCCTGTGTTAGAAGTGCTGATTTTTTGTTGTATTGCAGGGAAAGCAACTGAACTACGTGGATTCTGTATATGGGACAAGGTGCAGTTGGATCTCTCTGTCATGTTAGAACTCAGGCCAAGTTCTAAGAGTTATTAGGCAGCTACATGTTGCAGTCAGGGTTTGGAAAAGGTTCTGGAAGTTGTGCTGCCTGCAAGAAGCAAGGTGCCACCAAGACCTTAGGAGATCTAAGAGTGGGGTTTAAGAAGACTGTTGACTGTAATTGCTTGATTTAACTGAGCAAAATTAGAGCTGAGAGAAAAGCAACAGAAATATCTAAAAAAGAGATATCGCTAGAGAAACTCAGCAGGTCTGGCAGCATCTGTGGAGAGAAAGCAGAGTTAATGTTTCGAGTCCACTGACCCTTCTTCAGAACTGATAGTTGTTGGGTAGAGGGGTATATAAGTTGAAGACAAAGGGTGTAATGGGAGGAAAAGGAGTGAAGGACTGTAAGGCAGAAACAACAGTAAGACAGGCAAAGGGATACATGATAGTCTGCCAGGGAGAAAGAAAAGCTGATAATGGGGACCATAAGTAGGTCAAAATGGATTGACTGTGCTGAAAGCAGCCAGTGCCATGACAAGGCCTGGGGTGGTGGGATGGGTCAAGGACATGGAAGAAGGTGCTCAGGCCCTAACATTATTGAACTCAATATTGAGTCCTGAAGGTCCCCAAGCGGAAAATGAGATGCTGTTTTTCGAGCTTGAGCTGAGACTCACTGGAGCGCTGTGGCAGGCCCAAGACATAAATGTTGACCAAGGAACGTGGTGGTGTGTTGGAGTGGCAGGCAATCAAAGCTTGAAGTCATTTTTGTGGACAGAACGTAGGTGTTCTGCAAATTGGTCACCCAGTCTGTTATTTGTCTCCCCAGTGTAGAGTAGACCACATTGTGAGCTATTTTGCATGGCGAAGTGAGCTGTCAGTGAAAAAAATGTATTACTAAATAAGTATCTGATTGCATTGGAACATAGACCCAGGTAAGGAAAGTGCTGGACCAGAACAAGTGCAGTCCTTGACAACCTAGTTACTCAGATAGCATTTCAAGGCCAGATCAACAAAGTGAAGACTTGTAACCTCACGATGAAGCTTAATTAAACTCAACCAACTGATGGAGGCGTGCTGCTGCTGAAAAATTGAGAAATCACATTTGAACGCATTTGATATTTTTATGTATACTATGGGATGTTTGATCACAGTATGTTGCCCATGTTTAAGTGTTAATTCTGTGTTATAAATAAGTTAAGCATGTATTGTAGATTGTGTTAATGATTTGACTTGTATCGTATAGAGTCATAGAGTCAGACAGCATGGAAACAGACCCTCTGATCCAACCCGTCCATATCGACCAAGTTTTCAAAACTAAACTAGTCCCATTTGCCTGCGTGTGGCCTATATCCCTCTAAACCTATTCTATTCATGTACCTGTCCAAATGTTGTAACTGTACCTGTTTCTGCCACTTCCTCTAGCACCTCATTCCATCCTCTATGTGAAACAGTTGACCCTCAGGTCCCTTTTAAATCCTTCTCCTCTTGCCTTAAATAGTTTTGAACTCCCCCAGCCTAAGGAAAAGACCTTTGCTATTCACCTTATACCTGCCCCTCATGATTTTATAAACCTGTATGAAGTCATCATTCAACCTTCAGTAAAAACAGTCCCAGCCAACCCAGGCTCTCTTCATAACTCAAACCGTCCAATCCCAGCAACATTCTAGTAAATCTTTTCTAAACCCTCTCCAATTTAATATAATGCTTCCTATAACAGGGCAACCAGAACTGTATGCAATATTCCAGAAGTGGCCTCAGCAACATCCTGTACAACTTTCACATGACGCCCCAACTCCCATACTCGGTGGTCTGAGCGATGAAGGCAAGCATGCTAAACACCTTCTTAACCAACTTTTCTAACTGTGATGCAACTTTCAAAGTACTATGTGCGTGAACCCTTAGGTCTCTCTGTTCGACAACAGTACCCAGGGCCCAGCCATTAATTGTATAAGTCCTCCCCTTGTGTGTTATACCAAAATGCAATACCTTGTGTTTATCCAAATTAAACTCCATCTGACACTCCTGAGCCTATTGGCCCAATTGATCCCTTTGTAATCTTAAATAATCTTCTTCACTGTTGACCATACCACCAATTTTGTTGTCCATAGAACCTGGTGACTTTATTCTCTTAGTTAACCCACTGGTTATCAGCTTTTGTCTACTTTAAAAATAAAGATTATTGGACCTCACCAGAGTGTGATGCAGTTTGGTGTTGTTAACCAGGATCCTAACATAAAGTCCAGTCTGGCGCTGTAATATGTTGCATTAATAGCCTGGGAATGAGGGCATCTCTAGATAAAGGAACCATCTTTTGAGAGACGAAAAGAAATTTTTCCACTTTGCAGTTGCGCTCTTCAGAATACTCGAGCCCAGAGAAGTATATTGTTGTTGTGAAGTATATTTAAGGCAGAGTTTGGTGGATCGACTCTGGGTCACTGAAGAATTCAAGTGATATGGTTATAGAACAGGAAAGTGGAGTCGACTTTGAAGTTTATTGACTGGTGAATTTGACTGCAAGGGCTCTGAATGATCTCCTGAATTCTAATGTTCTCAAGCAAAGTTTCTTTGAAAACCTGTGTCTCAGCAGTTTCTTTGTCTTGCTTTGTAGGTGGAATGGCTGAAGAATGAAGAACCGATTGATCCAAAGCGTGAGCCGAACATTTATAGCACAGCAGAGCATGATCTCGTCATTGAGCAAGCGCATCTCTCTGACTCAGGCAATTATACCTGTGTCGCTACAAATGTGGTTGCCAAGCGACGCAGCACAGCTGCCATGCTGACTGTGTTTGGTAAGAAGTGCGACCCTTCAGCAATATTTGGATTAACTTGCATTTAAATAGCACCTTGGGATGTCCTAAAACACCTTGCAGCCAAATGTTTGAATGTGAAAACTACTGTCAGGTGCCAAAACATGGCAGATTTGTTCAGCAAAATTTCAGATGGAACTGAAATAAATGAGCAGAAGTTCAAAGCATTGTTGGTGGGGTGCGGGAGCCTGTCTTGCCTCTTTGAAAAGCAGCACAGGAGAGTTTACAACCATTTGCGAGGACCAACAGGGTCCCATTAATATAGAACGTAGAACAGTACAGCACAGGAACAGGCCCTTTGGCCCATGATGTTGTGCCGAACATGATGCCAAATTAAGCTAAACCCTTATGCCTGCCAATTGTTCATATCTCCCCATTCCTAGCGTATTCACATGCTTATCTAAAAGTCCCCTAAATGCCCCTATTGTATCTGCCTCAATCACCAACCCTAGCATTGTGTTCCAGACTCCTACCACTCTCTGTGTAAAAAAGATTTCCCTCGCGTCTCCTTTGAAATTTCCCCCTCTAACCTTAAGTGCATGCCCCCTAGTATTAGACATTTCAACTCTGGGAGAAAGATTCTGTCAACCCTATCTATGTATCTCATAATTTTATAGACTTCTTTCAAATCTCCCCTCAGCCTCCATTGCTCCAAAGAACACAACCCGAGTTTTTCTAGCCTGTTCTTATAGCTCATATTCTCTAATCCAGGCTGCGTCCTGGTAAACCTCCTCTGCAGCCTCTCCAAAGCTTCCACATCCTTTGTGTAATGTGGCAACCAGAAATGAACACAGTATTCTAAGTGTGCTTTAACCAAAATCTTATAAAGCTGCAACATGAAATCCTGACTCTTATTATCAATTCCCCGAACAATGAAGGCAAGCATGCCATATGCCTTCTTTACCACTGTATCTACTTACTTTAAGGGAGCAATGGACTTGAACCCCAAGATCCTTCTGTACATCAATGCTGTTCAGAGTCCTGCCATTAACTGTCTACTTTTCCTTAACATTTGATCTCCCAAAGTAGAGCACCTCATACTTAACCGGATAAACTTCATCTGCCATTTCTCTGCCCATATCTGGAACTGATCTATATCCCGCTGTATCTCTTGACAACCTTCTACACTATCCATAACTTCACCGAGCTTTGTACTGCCTGCAAACTTACTAACCCACTCATCTACATTTTCATCTAAGTCATTTATATGTATCACAAACAGCAGAGATCCCAGTAGGGATCCCTGCACAACACCACTAGTCACGGACCTCCAGCCTGAAAAACACCCTTCTACCACTACCCTCTTTCTTTTATGGGCAAGCTACTTCTGAATCCATGCGGCCAATTCACTGTGGATCCCATGCGTTAATCATGAGGACCTTGTCAAAAGCCTTACTAAAATCCATGTAAACAATATCCACTACTCTACCCTCTTCGATCACCTTCGCCACCTCCTCGAAAAATTCAATGAAGTTAGTAAGAACTGACCTGCTCTGTACAAAGCCATGCTGTCTATCCCTAATTAGGCCATGCTTTTCCATGTAAATCCTATCCTTAAGAACTCTCTTCAATAGCTTCCCAACCACCGATGCGAGACTCACTGATTTGTAGTTTCCTGGATTCTCCCTATTTCCCTTCTTGAACAGAGGAACAACATTAGCTACTCGCCAGTCATCCAGGACCTCTCCAGTGGCTAGCAAGGATACAAAGATCTTGGTTAAGGCCCCAGCAACCTCCTGTCTTGCCTCGCTCGATAACCTGGGGCAGATACCATTTGGCCCTGGGGACTTATTCACCTTAATGCTCTTCAAGAGATCCAACACCACTTCTTTCTTGATCTCAAAATGCCCTAACGTATTAGCATGCTTCACACAAATTTCATTGTCCTCCACATCCTTCTGAATGAATACCGATGCAATGTACTCATTTAGGAATTCACCCACATTCTCTGCCTCCAAGCACAAGTTCCCTCCTTTATCCTTGAGTGGCCCTATCGTCTCCCTAGTTATCCTCTTGTTTTTAATGTATCTATAGAATGCCTTGGGATTCTCTTTAACCCTACTTGCCAAGGTCATTTCATGGACCCTTCTGGCTCTCCTAATTCCCCGCTTGAGTTCTTTCCTTTCCTTATAATCCTCATGGGCCCTGTCCTATTTTAGCTCCCTAAACATTGCATATGCTTCTTTTCCCTTTTGGCTAAATTCGCAACCTCCCTTGTTGCCCAGGGGTCCCTTACCTTGCCATCCTTGTTCTTCCTCCTTACTGGAACATGCTGATCTTGAATTCTCCCCAGCAAGTCTTTGAATAGTTCCCACATGTCAAATGTGGACTTGCCTGATAACAATTCCTCCCAATTCACTCTCCCTGGCTCCTGCCTAATACTGACGTAATTTACCCTCCCCTAATTTAGTACCTTCCTGCAAGGTCCTGACCTATCTTTGTTCAGAGCTATCTTAAAATGCAATGAGTTATGATCACTGTTACCAAAATGCTCTCCCACTGAAAGGTCAGTCAGCTGGCCAGGCTCATTAGCCAATACCAGGCCCAGTATGGCACCTCCTCTAGTTGGTCTATCCATAAACTGTTTCAAGAAATCCTCTTGGATGCATTTAATAAATTCCGCCCCATCTAAGCCTCTTGCTCTAAAGGAGCCCCAGTCAATACTGGTGAAGTTAAAGTCACCTACTGTGACAACACTGTTTTAGTTGCACCTTTCCATAATCTGCCTACATATTTGTTTCTCAATCTCTCAGTGGCTGCTGTGAGGCCGATAGGGAAATCGAATCAGAGTGATTGCACCCATCTTTTTTTTGAGCTGTACCCATATTGCCTCAATGGATGAGCCCTCCAGCATGTCCTGTCTGAGTACAGATGTAACATTCTCCCTGATTAGTAATGCAACTCCTCCACCTCATTTACCTTCCTCTCTATCTCATCTGAAACAACGAAACCCTGGAACTTTGAGCAGCCCGTTCTGACCCTCTCTCAACCAAGCCTCTGTAATGGCCACAAAATCATAGTCCTATGTACTGATCCAGGCTCTAAGCTAATCTGCCTTACTTTTAATACGCCTTGCATTGAAATAAACATACTTCAGCCCATTAGTGCCGTTGTTGTTTATTTACCTGTCTCTGCCTGTCCTTTCTTTCTGATTTACTGGTCCTAACATCTACCTTCCCCTCAATCCCCCCACTTGCTGACCTGCTGCCCTGGTTCCCAGCCCCCTGCCCCTGTAGTTTTGGGCTATTTTGACATGGGGAGAAATATATTGACGCAAAAGGATAGGGAGTCTTTGGAGCTGTCTACTGTGGAGAGCTCTGGATACCCAGTCCTTGAATTTATTCGCAACAGTGACAGACACATTTCTGTGTACTCAGGAAATTGGAATAGAGATATCATGCAGGATTGTGACATTGATGTCAATGGTCAGATGATTCAAAGGTTTTTTTTCTCCTTTTCCACACCTATGGGGACCTATGTTCTGTGTACCTGTACCGCACCTAACCTCCCCACACCCGAGCCCCTCAAAACCACTCAAAGGGTTAGTGGGGAACACATCCATGGAAAAACATGCAGGCTGGTCACAGCCATGTTACACTGGAAACAGCAGTTATTGCCTCATGGTGAGAATTCCGCCCTCATCCCGGGGAAGAAGTCCCAGCGGACCTGAGGGGTAGTTAGAGATTGGAGGGGTCTGTTGAGATGACGCAGCACACTGAAATGAATGTGTTGCCTCACTAAGATTGTGTACATTAGCCCATCATAACAGTGAAAGCAGAAATGAGTTTTATGCTAAGAAACAGGGAAGTATGTAATACCTCTTTGGAAGACTGCATTCAGGAAAATATTCCGAGATTTTAAGGTGAGAGGAGAAAGATTTAAAAAACTACATGAGGGGCAATTTTTTTACACAGAGAGTGGTTTGTGTTTGGAATGAACTGCCAGAGGAAGTGGTGAATGCAGGTACAATTACAACATTTAAACAACATTCGGATAAGTACATGAATAGAAAAGGTTCTGAGGGATGTGGGCCAAGCACAGGCAGGTGGGACGTGTTTGAGATATCTGGTTGGCATGAACTGGTTGGATTGAAGTATCTGTTTCTGTGCTGTATGCCTCTATGACTATAACTACAGCCAGTCCTTAAAGAAGAAGAGATTCTAGAGGCCAGACTATAGCTCAGTACAGAGTTGCAGCTGGCTGGTCCCAGCGAATGTGGTGGTGGAGTTCTGGCTTCAGAGCCCAGGCAGGACACTGGAGGAGGGTTAAAGGCAGGAACTGACCTTGGAAAAGTGGTTCCAGTGGACACGGGGCTCTGACCAACCTTTCCTGACACTATGTAGCTCTTTGTTTGATACAAGTCTCTCTCTACTCCGGGTAAGATAGAGGCGAGGGGAGGATAAAACCCTTAAATGGCTATTAATTAGTCATTTAATTGCCTATGTCCAAGGGCAGGAGGGATGCCCAAGACCTTCATTGCCTTACCCACCTGCTCCTACCCATCCCTACCCTGCCTGCACCTCTTGCTGCATAAAATGAGGTTGGTGAACAGGCCTCATGCTCCATTTCACAAGCTATTTTTTATTCATTCGTGGGATGTGGACGTCACTAGCTGGGTCAGTATCCCAAGTTGCCCTTGAGAAGGTGGTAGTGAGCTGCCTTCTTGAACCACTGTACTGCATGTGTTGTAGATTGACCCACAATGCTGTTAAGGAGGGAATTCCAGAATTTTGATCCAGTGACAGTGAAGGAATGGTGTTTTTCCAGGTCAAGATGGTGAGTGGATTGAAAGGTATTGTGGCGTGCCTTTTTCCTTTTAGATGGAAGTTGTTGTGGTTTTGAAAGGTGCTGTCTAAGGATCTTTGGTGAATTTCTGCAATGCATCTTATATATATAGTACATGCTGCTGCTACTGAGATTGGTGGTGGAGGGAGTGGATGTTTTTAGATGTAGTTCTAGGGTGACACGGTGGCACAGTGGTTAGCACTGCTGCCTCACAGCACCAGGGACCTGGGTTCGATTCTAGCCTTGGGCGACTGTCTGTGTGGAGTTTGCACATTCTCCCCGTGTCTGCGTGGGTTTCCTCCGGGTCCTCCGGTTTCCTCCCACAGTCCAAAGATGTGCAGGTTAGGTGGATTGGCCATGCTAAATTGCCCGTAGTGTTCAGGGAGGTAGAGGGTGTATATTAGGTGGGTTCTGGGTGGGATGCTCTGAGGTTCGGTGTGGACTTGTTGGGCCGAAGGGCCTGTTTCCACACTGTAGGGATTCTAATTCTAATTCAAGCGGGCAGCTTTGTCCTCGATGGTGTCAAGCTTCTTGAGTGTTGTTGGAGCTGTACCCATCCAGGGCAAGTGGGAAGTATTCCATCACATTCCTAATTTGTGCCTCCACGCCTTCAAACTCACTAGACAGGTGTGTAAAATCCAGCTTGTTGGACAGAATATCACGACCTCAGTGTGGTTTTTTTATCTTTATTCACGGGATGAGGGCATCACTGGCTGGGCCAGCATTTATTGCCCTAATCCCCAGAGTCAACCACATTGCTGTGGGTCTGGAGTCACATGTAGGCCAGACCAGGTAAGGATGCAGTTTCCTTCCCTAAAGGACATTAGTGAACCAGATGGGTTTTTCCCTGATAATTGACAATGGATTCATGGTCATCATTAGACTCCTAATTCCAGAGATTTATTGAATTCAAATTCCACCATCTGCCGTGGCAGGATTCAAACCCAGGTGCTCTCTGGATTAACAGTCCAGCGATAATACCACTAGGCCATTGCCTCCCCATGAATGGATTAAAATGTAGATGGATGGGTTAGTAAGTAAGTTTGCAGACAATGCAAAGATTGATGGAATTGTAAATAGTGTAGCAGGTTGTCAAAGAATACAGCGGGATATGGATCAGTTATAGCTTTGGGCGGAGAAATGGCAGATGAAGTTTAGTCATGTGCTGCAATTTGGGAGACCAAATGTTAAGGCAGGACCTTGAACAGCATTTTATGTACAGAAGGATCTTGGGGTTCTAGTCCATCACTCCCTGAAAGTGGCCATGCAAGTAGATAGGGTGGTAAAGAAGGCGTATAGCATGCTTGCCTTTATTGGTCGTGGAATTGAGTACAAGAATCGGATGTCATGTTGCAACTCTATAAGAGTTTGGATAGGCCTATACAGAGTATTTCAATTCTAGACACCTCATTACAAGGAGGATGTGGAGGATTTGGAGAGGCTGCAGAAGAGTTTTACCAGGATGTTGCCTAGATTAGAGGGTATGAGCTGTGAGGAGAGGCCAGAAAAACTTGTGTTTTCTGAGGGGAGACTTGATAGAAGTCTGTAAAATTATGAGTTGCATTGATGGGGTTGACAGTCAGAATCTTTTCTCCAGAGTTGAAATGCCTAATACTAGGGGGCATGAATTTAAGGTTAGAGGGGGAAATTTCAAAGGAGATGTAAGGGACAAATTTTTTACACAGAGTGGTAGGAGTCTGGAACGCACTGCCAGGGGTGGTGGTAGAGGCAGATACGATAGGGGCATTTAAGGGATTTTTAGGTAAGCACGTGAATAGGCAAGGTATCGAGGGATTTGGACCAAGGGCAGGCAGAAGGGATTAGGTTAATTTGGCGTCATGTTCGGCACAATATTGTGGGTCAAAGGGCTGTACTGTTCTATGTTCTATGCAGAATCCTGTGACTCAGAGTCAACGGTGCACCATCGCAAGTCACATCTTCCCCTAGCCTACACAGTCCTTAGTAATCTGCTCATGTTCACCATTTTTAAGGCCAGGGTGGATGGATTCTAGACCACAGAAGAGTCAAAGGCTACTGGGGGTGCATGGGACTGTAGAGCTGAGGCAACTAACAGATCAGCCATGATCTTGTAGAATGGTTGGGCCACTCGAGGGGCCTGCTCTTAGTTCATCTGCTCACCAGGCATCTAATGTGTCTGACTAGTGTGTTTTTTTTTTGCAGTGAACGGTGCCTGGTCAATGTGGACAGAGTGGTCACCTTGCAGCGTCCGGTGTGGCAGAGGACGGCAGAAGCGAACACGGACCTGCACCAACCCGGCCCCGCTCAATGGAGGAGCCTTTTGCGAAGGGACTTCAGTTCAGAAGATCGTCTGCTCCTCCCTTTGCCCAGGTGAGAGCTCCGACTGGAAAATTAAAGACCTCGCAAGATTGTAAACATTGAGGTTGCTTGGCAGCCACAAGGCATTCACACTTCAAAGAATGGATCTGCACAGCAGACAGTAAGAGCAATCAGTATTGTCATTACACTGAAATACGTTATGTTTGATAGTCATATTATTGAAACCAATATAAAACAGAGGAATTGAGCAATTTCAGCTGCTTGAAGGTAATAAATTAGAAACTCTTTTGTAACAGTACAACAATCAGAAAGGATTGAAGTGGGTGATGTTCACAGGGTTGATATGAAATCCAACCAGCTTTCTCTCATCATCATTAAAATCAGTGGGACACTTACCATTTAGGAGATGAAGAAGTGGCAATGAAGGAATAGATGGCGAAGATGCTATAAAAATACGTATTAGCTATGAGAGAAATGCAGTTAGCATGTCAGGCTGGTGAGTCTTCAATCGAACTGGAAAATGTTTGCGATGTAGCTGGTTTGAAGCAAGTGCAGGCAGAGAAAACAGCAAAAGGGGATGGTGGAGGGCAGTGTACATCAAACAGTGAGAGAGGTAATGCACAAAGCCAAAAGGAGGCGATAATGGGACAAGTCTGAAAACAAACAATGGGTCTAAATACAGGAGGTGTAATTGGGAATTGGAGAATCATCACCCACACCCACAGGGAATGACCCAAGACAGATGGTTGATGTTTCAGTCAGAGAGCATTTTGGGCTTAGTGACTATTACTGCAGAAGATTTTGAGCAGTCATGGACAAGGACAAGACTGGCCCTCGGGTGAGGGTGCTTAACTGGGCAAGGGTCAATTACATCCAAATTAGACAGGAACTGGGGAATGTGGATTGGAGGCAGTTATTTGAGGGCACATCTACGTCTGGCATGTGGGAGGCTTTTAAAGACCAGTTGATTAAAGTGCAGGACATGCATGTCTCTGTAAAACTGAAGGATAGGAATGGCAGGATCCAGGAACCGTGGATGACAAGGGAAATTGTAAACTTAGTCAAAAGGAAAAAGGAAGCACATGATAGGTCTAGGCAGCTACAAACTGACAAAGCCCTTGAGGAGTATGGAGAAATTAGGAAGGAACTTAAACACAGAATTAGGAAGGCTAAAAGGGTCCATGAAATGTTTTTAACAAACAGAGCCAAGGAGAATCCAAAGGCTTTTTATGCATTTATTAGAAGAAAGAGGGTAGCAAGGGAAAGAGTAGGCCCACTAAAGGACAAAGGAGGGAAGTTATGCGTGGAGCCACAGGAAGTGGGAGAGATCCATAATGAGTACTTTGTATCGGTATTCACCAAGAAGAAGGACATGACTGATGCTGAGGTCAGGGATGAGTGTGTGAATACTCTAGAGGACATCAATATATTAAAGGAGAAAGTTTTGGGTATCCTAAATCGCATTAAAGTAGACAAGTCCCCAGGGTCAGATGGGATCTATCCCAGGTTAATGTGAGAGGTAAGGGAAGAAATAGCTGGGGCATTAGCAGATATCTTGACCACAGGTGAGGTTCCAGAGGACTGGAGATTAGCCAATGTTGTTTCCTTGTTTAAGAAAGGAAGCAGGGATAATCCAGGAAATTTTAGGCTGGTGAGTCTGACATCTGTGGTGAGGAAGCTCTTGGAGAAGATACTGAGGGACAGGATAAATCCACATTGGGAAGAAAATGGACTAGTTAGCAACAGGCAGCATGGTTTTGTATGGGGAAGGTCATGTCTCACCAACCTGGCCCATCCAGTCTGCTCTGCCATTTGATCATGGCTGATATATTTCTCAACCCCACTCTCCTGCCTTCTCTCTGTGTAACCCTTGAAGCCCTTACTAATCAAGAACCCATGTGTCTCTGTCTTAAATGCACGCAATGACTTGGACTCCACAGCCCTCTGAGGCAATGAGTTCCACAGAATTACCACCCTCTGGTTGAGGGAATTCGTCCTCAACTCAGTTGAAAAGGGCCATCCCTTCACTCTCAGGCTGTGTCCTCAGGTGCTGGCCTCTCCCACTTGTGAAAATATCTCCTACATGTCCACTTCAGCCCCTCTCAGTATTCTGTAAGTTTCAATGAGATCCACCCTCATCTTTCTAAACTCCATCGAGTACAGGCCCAGAGTCTTCAACTGCTCCTCATATGACAAGCCCTTTGTCCCCAGGATCATTCTGGTCAGTCTCCTCAGGACCCTCTTCAAGGCCAGCACATCCTTTCGAAACTGCTCACAATATTCCAAGTCTAGTCTGACCAGAGTCTCAAGAAGCCTCAGCAGTACTTCTCTGCTCTTGTATTCATTGTTTGTTGTTTCAAGTGACAAAGTTTAAAAGAATAATGGGACCGTGAGTGGCCCTGAGGTTATTTTGTTGGACAAATAATCCATAAATAGAAGTTTAAATACAAATTGTGGCGGGAGAGAAATTTAAATTCAATTAACTAAGTATACTTGGAGTAAAAAGCTTGTATCAGCAGTGTGGGTCAAGTAACTCCCGGATTATTTTAAAGACCCGACTGGTTCACTCACATCCTTTTGCAAAGGAAATCTGCTGTCTTCACTCAGGTGCTCCGAACCTGCCTTCTGCAATGACCTAGTAAGTTGAATAAAAACATCAACTGCTAGAGAAAGTCAGTAGATCCGGAAGCATCTGCAGAGAGAGGAAAACAGAGTTACCTCTGATCATTCATGACTCTTCTTCAGAACTGCACAATACCAAGTTCCTAAGAAATCATACTCGATTGGAAAGATTAACTCTGTTTCTCTTTTCACAGATGCTCCCAGACCTGCTGAGTGTCACCAGCACTTCTGGTTTTTATTTCAAATTTCCACCACTGCCGTGCTTTGCTTACATTTTCACAAGATACCGAAGGGTATCAAAAGAAACAAGCATGATTTTAAGAACATGGTTCAGTAGCTATTTGAAGGTTAAGGCAAGATGGATAATAAATGCTGACCTTGCCACCAATGTGCACATTCAATTCATGAATTTTTTAAAAAGCGCATGGACCTCTGCTGCTTGCTCTTTCCACTGAGTTCAGTTCTGAAGTCTGTCATTAGCACCCGACTAGTTAAGACCCAAATCAGACTTTCTCATCTGCGTGAGCTCCATTTCTAATTTTATTAAGATCCCTTTGCAAAATAAAACAGCTGAGCCCTTTACGAGTTGAATCAAAGCCAGCATTGCCATTTCGAATGTGCCAGATATTTCGTCTTAAATCTCTCTTTGTTAATCATTTGATCATAATCTTTAAAGTGTATTCAGAGAGGAGCTCACATCTGTTAAGTTATTGAATTAGTGGAACACTTTTTGCAATCAAGATTTATTGTTGAAACGTTGGGGGAAAGATCTTCTCTCTAAAGGTGCGCTAATTTTAAAGAATTTTAGCTTTAATTCAAGATATAATAATGTTGTCTAGATTTATTCCATGCAGAAGCCAGAATCTGAAGCAGTCAGCACTCTGTACTTTCTTCCATGAGGAGAATTTGCAATGTTCGTCCTCATCGTAATCAAAGCCGAAAGGAAAAGGAGGAAGCTAAATGACCAATTAGCCCCTCAAGTCTGTTTTGCCATTCACACACGTCATAGTCTGTATTGAAAGTCCATATTCTAGCCTGAGTCCCGGACCTATTAAAATCTGTCAATGTCAGTTTGAGATGGTATGTGGCAGCTGACTCACTGACCTAGGCAAAAGTTGCAGTAGCCAAAAGCAGCCCTTACTTGGCTACTTGAAAACATGTCAATTGGCAACTTGGCAGGGATCAGTCTGTTAATATTCCTACCACATCATTTTGCCAGCCTTCCTGCCTCACAGCCTGCCCTCAAAGAACCTGGAAAATTGTTATCTCTGTATCTTACACTTAGATATCCTCTGTGGTATATTGACAGGTTCCTGTTTTTGGGCATGCTGCATAGAGCACGTTCACTCATTCATAAACATTGATATTTGTAGAGTATGGTGCATAGAATCACTCGTGTGAAAAAAGCTTGCTGATTTTTCTTTTGTCCTCCAAATTTTAATGTCTGTAAAAATCTGACAAACCGCGTCAATATCTGCTCCTCAGCATCTGGAATTGTTAAGTTTAGAAAAGATTTTCACAAAGTATACATGTTAGTGCCAACGTGTTTCAATGAAAGCCATTCTTACATTTGTGGAATATATATCATGAAAAAGAGAAATCATGTTTGTGGCTAATGATTTGCCTACGGTAATTTATGGCTCAATTGATTCACCAGACCTTCACATAATTGCATAGACTTGAACAGAATTTACGGCAGAGAAATAGGACACTTAGCTGACTAGTCCATGCCAACGTTTGTGCTCCATCTGAGTTTCACTCACCTCAGTTCATCAAAGCCCATCTGTACTCGTTGAACTTCCCATGAAAGTTATCTCCATTATTTGTCTGAATAACAGTGGTTAGAACTGTTGCCACACAGCCCCAGAGACCCAGGTTCGGTTCCAGCCTCAGGCGACTGTCTGTGTGAAGTTTGCGCATTCTTCCCGTGTCAGTGTGGATCTTCTTCGGGTGCACCAGTTTCCTCCCACAGTCCAAAGATGTGCAGGTTAGCTTGATTGGCCATGTTAAATTGCCCGTAGTGTCCTGGGATGCATAGGCTAGGTGGATTAGCAATGAGAAATGCAGGGTTACAGCAATAGGATAGGTGGGATGCTCTTCAGAGGGGTCAGTGTGGACTTAATAGGCCTAATGGCCAGCTTTCACACTGTAGGGATTCTGTGATTCTACATTTTGCCCATCGAAAATTCCACATTCAAGCTATGCTCTGGGTTAAAAAAACAGTTCTGTGTGAATTATTTGTTGAATTTACAGGTGACTGTCACAGATATATAGCTTTTTGTTTTGGTCTCCTCCACAGCTTAAACTGTGAATCTGCCCTTGTGAACTTTTTTATACGCTTAAGGATCTCAGTTAGGTCATTGCTCAGGATCTCTTTCATGGGGAAAACAGCTGCTGCTTTTTCAATCTTTCCTGACTGGAATCGCCCCTGGGGTCTGCCTCATCCTTCCAATTGCCTTTTGCACTTTCTCCAACATCTTTTATGTTTGATCATGCCCACTGCAGTTTTAATTGGCTAATTGTGAAAAACAAACAGATGAGAGAATTAATGCCTGGCCACAGCAACTTTTAGACAGCTGTCACCAGTCGTAAAAATTGCTGTGTCGACGGCGTCACAAAAGAGACCGTGCTATCTCACCTGACCTTTCTGTAAGCGAGGTTCCTGAAAAATAAAGCATGTCTCTGCTTATTCTCTCTGTTCATTGCAGTGGATGGTGCCTGGGAACCCTGGACCGTGTGGTCCCCCTGCTCCTCTGAGTGTGAACACCAAAGAGTCCGTGCGTGCGTTGCTCCTGAACCGAGGTATGGTGGAAAATTCTGCGAGGGGCTGAGCCAGGAGTCAGAGAATTGCACCGAGGGACTCTGCATTCAAAGTATGTAGCGCCTCGGCAGCATTTTGTTAAGCAATCTGAAACCGAAACCCACTTGTGTTTGCTGATTTGACCAGCCTGTTGTGACTGTTTGCAACACAGCTGTGGTGTTTTAGAGACATGAGTTATGTCAGGATCAAAGATGACTCTGAGAAAATGAGTTGCCAAGTGCCACAGTTAAAAAGTACAGGAAGCTCCAGCATTCAAGGGCCCTGACAAACCTTGATCCAATTCATGTTTCTGAGATGTCACTGTTACGCAGATCCCTTGCTGGATTGTGTTGGGCTCTTAACATTTCCACGATGAGAAATCCCAATAATTTTACACCTTAATTGTTGCTTGATAAGTCATGGGTTGTCTTTTTTTTCCATGGGCCTTGATTGGAACTGCTTTACAGTGGGTGGCTTGGTGGCTCATTGGTTAGCACTGCTACCTTCACAGTGCCAAGGACCTGGGTTCCAATTCCACCCTCAGGCAAATGTTGTTGTTGAGTTTGCACATTTTCCCCTTGCCTGAATGGGTTTTTTCTCCGGGTGCTCTGGTTTCCTCCCACGGTCCAGCAGGTTTGGTGGATTAGCCATGGGAAATGCAGGATTATGGGGTGGGTCTGGGTGGGATGCTCTTCAGAGGGTTGGTGTGGACTTGATTGACCAAATCGTGTGCTTCCACACTGTAGGGATTGGGCAACACAGAGAGAGAGTAGTATTTTCTTCACTTGACATTTTTAAATCTTGAGTAATCCTGTTCCCCTTCTTCCCCTTTCTACTTCTGTTTTTCATTATCACATGCTTCACACCTGCATTAAGTTTGGATTTACTTTTATTCTCAGAAAATGATATTTTCAATAAGTTTATGTCATGAAAGGTCTAAGTGTCCCCAGTCTTTCCTCAAAGGTTCTTCACTTCTTCAAGGAAGATACGGATAAAACAGATGGCAGCTCGCTCTGTGTTACAAACATTTTTATCATCATCTGTGCGCTGTTCAGGATTTTGTAGATTGTTTGAACTCCTTATATTTTATTACTGTGTCTTCTTCCTCTTCTATTTTTACCCATTTCGTTATCATCCAAGCTAACGTAAAGGTAGTCCCCAGTTCTTTTTTTAAAGGCATCTGACTTGTAAAAAGATCATAAAAAGCTGCTAGGGCTTATTAAGGACCAAAAAGAGGACCAAGATGTGGAGGCAGAGGCCATGACTAAGATACACAAATGAATATTTTATATCTGTCTTGACCAAGGATGAAGATGCTCCTAAAGTCACGGTGAAAGAAGAGGTATCTGAGACTCTAGATCGATGAAATATTGATAAATGAAGGTGTGACCAGGGTTATCTGTTCTTAAAGTTGATAAGTCATCGGGCCGGATGAAATGCATCCAAGATTAGAGAGGGAGGTAAGGGTGGAAAATATGGATGCAGTGGCCAACATTTTTCAGCCGCCCCTTGATATATAGTGATGCCAGAGGCTGGAGAATTGCAACTGTTGTCCAAAAGCAAAGTGTAAAGGATAAGCTACAGATCAGTCAATTTAACTTTCATCGTGGGAACGTTTTTAAAAGTGATAATTTGGGGCAGAAAATTTAACGCTCACTTGGACGATTGCTTCTCCATTAAGGAAGGCAGACAGATTTGTTAAGAGTAACTTCTGTTGCGGTATTATGGTTGGGTTTGTTGAGGCCACAGAGAGGGTTGACTAAAGCTTGGTGTGGTGCATGTGGAGTTCCAAAGTGCAGTTCATACTACAAGCATGTTGCTGCCCATGAAATAAAAAGGATAGTAAATAACATGGCTACAAAGCTGAGTGAGTGACAGGAGGCAGAGAGTAGTGGTGACCAGTTCTTTTTGGAGGAAAGTATAAAGTTGGATGTGCTAGAGGTAGGTGTTCGTACCACTGCTTTCGTTGGTCTGTTTTAAGGGTTACACACAGTTTCAACACATCCAGTTGACACAAAACTTGGAAATATTGAGAACTGTGAGGAAATCCATTGGACTCAAAGAAACAGTCTGGTTGAATGGGTAAATGTGGCAGTGTAAATTAATGCAGTGGTGTGTGAAGTGATACATTTGGAAGAAAGAACAAAGAGAGGAAATACAGTATCAAGATACAACTCAAAAGAGGCTTTTGAAGCGGAGATACCTGAGGGATATGTGCACAAGTTGTTGAAAGTCGAAGGGTAATTTAAGAAAGTCAAGCCAATGAGATTCTAGGTTTTATAAATAACCTCCAAGAGTACAAGAGTACAAAAGCACAGAGTTAGGGTCAACTTCTATGAAACACAGGTTCCGCCTCAAGTTAGGTATTGTGTCCAATTTTGGGTGTTACACATTGGGAAGAATGTGAATCATTAAAGAGGTTGCAGAAAAGCTGTAATATAAGGTTCCAGGAACACCCACAGTGCTGTCAGGAAGTGATGTCCAGGATTTTCACCCAGCAATACAGAAGAAATAGTGATTCTGTCTCAAGCAGGACGGCATGTGGCTTGGTGGGTGGTTGGGTGGAGCTTTTACATGGTAATGCACCCATGCATTTGCTGCCCTTGTCCTTCTAGATGGGAAATGTTGCAGGTTTTGAAGATGCAACTACCGTGTGTCAGTAGTTGAGGTAGTGAATGCCGAAGGCGGTGGGTAGGATGCCAGTCAAGCGCGCTGCTTTTCCCTAAATGTTGTTCTTGACTGTTGTTGGAGTTCCATTTATTCAGATGTGCGGAGAATATTTTATCACCCTCCTGACTTATGACTTGTAGATGGTAAACAGGGTTTGGGAGGTCAAGTAGTGAGTTATTTGCTTCAGAATCCCCTCCCTGTGCTGTACTGTTTTGTACAGAAAGTTTACATAGCTGGCCCAGTTCAATTTCTGGACAATCATAGCCCCAGGATGTTGATAATGGGAGATTCCAAGATGGTAGTGCCATTGAATGTCAAGATTAGATTATTAAGTACTGTTGTGTTGGAAATGGTATTGCCTGGCCATGCTCCCTTGCTCAGATAAATCCAGGAGAAACTTATTTGATGAGAGTGAATGTGGCAGGAATGCTGAGCTTCTATCTGACCTGTTGGTTATGGGATTATTTAGCTTTAAAACACCCTGATTCTCTGCCAGAACTCCCTAACAGTACTGTAGATATCCCAAGGACTTCAGTGGTTGAACAAGGAAGTTCACCCCCACCTACCACAGGGCCATTAGTGATGGGCAAAAAGTACTGGCCTCGACTGGAATGATCATTTCCCATGAATGAATAAAACAAATCCCTGAGAAAGTTCAGACATGGAACGTCGGACCACAGGGAGAAGTTAGACAGATTAGCACAATTGAAATTAAGGGGAATAAATAAGCAAATGAAGGAACTGGAAAGGAGCAGAAGGATTTGCTGGGGATAGTGTGGTTATGGCTAATGTAGACCATTACGTTTTTTTTGGACTTATTTGGCTGAATGGCCTCATTCTGTGCTGGAAATACTTTGTAATAGTTCACACTGGCAGCAAGAAAGCCCCAAGGCAAATGTGTCAGGTTGCTAGCCAGACCTTCCTTATCATAGAACAGATAATTAGGCACTGGACTAGATGGATATAGGTGTTGCCAATGGAACAACAGCAAGGAGAGGCAGGAAATAAGCTGATTCTAAAAAATCAAAAATTACACCTGTGCCTTATTTGCAAAAAGTTTGCTCGTTCTATTTTTGGTTCTTGTCAGCAACAGAGCTCACAAGGAGGTACCCTCATTGTTGGAGCCAGCAGTCAGAATTGTTTGCCTCAGAGCGAATTGGCAGCAGTGTAGTTAAGGCTCGCTCTTTGTCCCTCGATCGCAGGTTCTAAACCACCGTGTGGCTGACACTTGGCACATCCACTTTGTTGAGTGTGCCAGATTGTCGTTAAGAGTTGCTGGGCAAGACACAGGGGGAATATGAATCCGGTCAATCATGCTCCATGGTGACATGCCTCCTGCTAGCTAATCAGATATACATTGGGAACTACGGAGAGCATCTGCAGTCCACTCGTGACCCATCCCAGATGGCAAAATGTTGCAACAAAAAATAAGTGTAACCAGAAACTAAAATGAAAAATTACATTTGCATACAAAAATTTTGCATGCATACTATTTGCTTGTTCTGTTGTTTCAACAGGCCAGACACCTCTACAGGAAGTACAGCCTCAAAGTAAGCATTTCTAATTATTCTCTTTTCAATTTATTATAAATAATATTGCCTGATAAGGTAACTGCAGATGAGGGAGGTCATGTGAATCCATTTTAACTCACAATTCTTAAAAGTAATCTTAACAGCCTCACACTGGCAATTTTAGGATAATGCACCCTTTGTTCTTGGACCACCTTCAACGAGCGCTCAGATTGAGTTTATTGTTATAATTTTGTTGAGAGTATATTTCTATGAAGCCTTCTCCCAATAGCCTCCTTTTAAGGTGAGTAAGACCCAGCATCCCTGGTCTTTATTCATAAGTTATTCCTTTGATACAATGGATCAGCTATAACAAGAAAAAAATTGTGTTGCACCTCTTATGTAAGGAGACATCTGCCAGAACTTTACAATAATATGATGTGGCATACAATGGATCATATATCTGTTTTATATTTTAATCAGTTCTTCTGTACACCACCTTCAAGGGTTGAGTATTCCCCTGTGTCTTACAGGGTCAATCGTTAGATTTTTCAGCTAACCTGTAGCTAAGTCTGATGCTTCCACATCTTGAAAGTGTGGCACCCCATTCTCCAATTACATAAAATGTTCTTTTAAATCAAGATATGTTCATTTGTTTCAACTACTTTGATTTTCACAAAGCATTCTTCATATTTTCAGACCCACAAGTGAACAAGAATAGTCTTTACCAAACTCAACCTCGAAGGTCAACACACACCAAAGGGCATCCTACTCATTAAAATTAAAATTAACCATACAAGCGCAAGCATCTCATGTGTGCTCCCAGCATGCAGAACTTTGCATGAGGAGATTGAATTTGTAAAACGTACAACCTGATCATGTAGTGCATATGAGTGCGGCCACAGAAATCACTTGCTTTCTGGCAAAAAATGGGAATTAAACCCCAGAAACGACTCTGTGCAGTGTTAGCATATGAATGTTCAATGTCCTTACATTGAATTGGATACCTGTTTAAGAGAGGAATTAACCCATTTAAACACAGATGTTCAAATTGCAAAAAAAAAAACTGGGGTGGATTCATTAGACATCGAAGCACGGAAATCACACAGTTTTAAATCTGGGATTAAGTGTGTTATTTGAGGAATTTAGTCAGAAACCTCTGGACATGCCTGCTACCTTGGAAGAGTTGTCTTATCGGTTTTCCTATTCCATCTATTGTTCATGTCCCTGCTTCATGTAAGTTTTATTGTAGAGCCTGCTAAGAATACAGTGGTTGACTTTCTTAATAGGAGCGTGAGGCTAAGAAGACAGGAACTCAGAGCTTTTGTTCTAAATTGCACAAACTTTTTATTTGCTTATTTTTTTAAAATCTTAACAACATGAGAACTCGGAGGAGGAGTCAAGAATTTGGCCTCTCATGCTTGGTCTGCTGATTGTTGAAATCAGGCTGACGTTCTATCTCCACTAAACTGTCCTGTCCTGCCTTGACCCTGTATCGCTTGGAGATAGCAAGAACTGCAGGTGCTGGAGTCAGAGTCAATACAGTGTGAAGCTGGAAGAACACAGCAGGTCAGGCATCATCAGAGGAGCAGGAAAGTCGACGTTTCGGGTTGGGGATATCAATCCACGCCACTATTCGCTCAGACTTTCAGGTTGGGAAAACATTGGGAACAAAACTATTCCACTTGTTCTGATTTAGGGAGTCTCATTGTCTGAGGTGGAGTTTAAATTTGCAGGCGAGATATTTTCAAAACGTAAAATGCTGCCAGGTGCTTGACGGGAATAAGTGTGTATCAAGCCCAGTCATTGTCATTACGATTGTAGAAGATGTATGGTGCAGGTGATCGAAGCCTTGGTTGGAGATATAGTTTAACAAGACATGTTTAAAAGCAGAGAAATTGTGTTAGGGAGATCCCATCAATGAAATGGAGATAACTGAAAGATAAGCAACATTTTAGCCACTGTCCCATGCATAACCAAACGAACTGGATTTTTTTTTTCTTTATTCATTCACCGACTGAGGGCATGGCTGGCTAGGCAGCAGTTATTGCCTATCCCTAATTGCCCAGAGGGCAGTTAAGAGTCAACCACATTGCTGTGGGTCTGGAGTCACATGTAGGCCAGACCAGGTAAGGATGGCAGTCTCCTTCCCTAAAGGACATTAGTGAACAAGATGGGTCTTTCCGACAATCGACAATGGATACACGGTCATCATTAGATTCTTAATTCCACATATTATTGAATTCAAATTCCCCCATCCCTGTGGTGGGATTCGAGCCCAGGTCCCCAGAACATTGTCTGGGTCTCTGAATTAACAGTCCAGTGATAATACCACGAGGCCATCGCTTCCTCTGGCATCCTTCTGGATGCTGGCAAAGAAACTGGAATGAATTGTTCTCCAGTGCTGTTCTTCTGTCTAGTAATCAAATTATTTTAAAGAGCACCAATTTATGTTTTTCATTTTGATATGGAAACAGTTACAGAAGCTCTTCCAGAAAGTAATGCCAAGAATGTCGCGCAATAGAAGTTAGATTTAACTTATTTAGCTGCCTAGTCATTTTTGACGGTCACTAAACATGTTTAATTGGCCGCATCTAAACTAATGAGCTTTTGAAACAACCAACCCCTCATCAGATGCTTTCAGAGGGTGGTCATTTGTTTTTTTTTTCTGGTATTACCTTGACAGCTGTAACACAGAGGATAGCCTCTGAGTCAGAGTTTGCCAGTTCAAGTCCCACTCCGGCTCTTGAGCATACATTTGAGGCCAACATTGACGGTGTAGTATTCAAGAAGTGCTGTACTGTTGCAGGTGCTGTGTTCTGGATGCCAGGTAAAAGAAAGGCATTGTCAGCCATTTCTGTCTGCAGTCTTGCACTCTTATGAGAAATATAGGGTTCTTTTCTGAGATATTGTTGTGAGTATTTCGAAATGCAACCCCGTGATCTTTGGACATGAGAAAGGAATTCACTGAAGAAATTAAATATTTTGAACTAATTGGGCTCCAGAAAGAGAAACCAATTTGTTTCCGAGAGCTGATGTAATTGAATGAATCTTATTCTTAATAGTTTGCAAAATGGATTGGCTTTTTTTTTAAAACAGCTGCAACTGGTTAATTGTCTTCAGGTGGCTTAAGTGAAGTAATCATTAGGTGTGATGAGCATATTCATTACGACAGAATGTTTGTTCATCCAACCGTGACTGAAATCAAACTGTCAGTAAACCAAAGAGTAACATGTGGATGGGCAGGCAGGAAGTCAAAATGTGTTCTCCTTAACAGAATTGCATTGGGCATTGAATGCCATTGGTGTTCCATTTCCAGGTGCTGATGCCAACTTTCTTTTAGCACATCTTTCACATTGTATTGCATCTGATTCCAGTGTTGTAAGTTAGGAAAACCACATCTTGCAGTTCTTTCTCCACTCATACAGATGAGCAGTTCACACGCAATCAGGTATGTTGAGGTTCCATGCCTGCTGCTGCTGGTTAATGAGTCAGTGGTCTGTGCACAGCAAGATCCCACTGCTAAAGGTCGGTTGTTTGAAGAACATTAGTCTGGATCTGCAGTACTGTCAAACCAAAATCTATTGGCCTTTTGATCAAAGTTCACTTCTGTGAAAAATACATCTGGTTGGCAGACATTGCACAGACTTTTTCACCTCTGTGCAGGCAATATTTATCTGTGATACAGAATGGGTGTAAAATTGTGACTTGATGCACACAGAAATAGTCTGTTCCAGCTGTCACCACTGCAAATGTTCACTGAAAAGAAGAAGGATCTGCAGAGTTACATCTAATATATTTGACTCCTCTAGGTATTGAAACCAACAGCGATGTGGCTTTATACTCTGGCCTTGGCGCAGCAGTGATAGCTGTCGCAATGCTTGTGGTGGGCATCACATTATACCGAAGAAGTCAAAGTGAATATGGTGTCGATGTTATTGACTCTTCAGCTCTAGCCGGTGGCTTTCAATCTTTCAACTTCAAGACTGCCAGACAGGGTTAGTATCTGCTTCCTTACATTACTTCAAGTTAATTGTTGCAGGGTGGTTCTTTAGAATGGTATGTGAACAGGGTGAGAATGGATGACCAGTTAAATCGATGTTTTCATTGCTCAAATGAGACAGAAGGATCGGGGAATAGTCTACCAAGACTTGCTTTGGAAGGAAGATGCTTGATGCTTGTGTGTTGTTCACATCACAAACAATTGCTATGTCTCGTGAAATGATAAACTGAATGGTGAAAAGATCAGAAGGACTTTCGGAGAATGGGTTGCATTAGATGTAGGAAAGTTGACGGTAAGTCTGCAAGTCCTTTTTTTAAGTGTTTGTTTGTGAGATAGGGTGCATCACTGGCATGCCCAGTGTTTGTTGCCCATCTGTAATTGTCCATGAAAATGTGTTAGTGAACTGCCTTGTTGAAGGGCTGCAATTCATTTGGGTAGGGACACCCACAGTGCTGTCAGGAAAGGAGTCCAAAATTTCAATCCACAGATATAAAATTGAGTGGCTTCCTTATGAGGTACGCACTTCCAGCTGGCTGATATTCTTGTCATCACTGAGGACTGTGGCAAATTTGTAGCCTCATGGGAGACACGTGAACCCAGCATCTTGGATATCCATTTGGCCCAGCAGCAAAAGAACACTAAATCCCACGTTTACAGTATTATCAGAAATATCAATTGGTGTTAGAATCACAGAATCCCTACTGTGCAGGAGCATGCCCTTCGGCCCATCAAGTCCACACCTACCCTCTGAATAGCATCCCACCCAGATCAACCCCATCCCTGTAATCCTACATTTCCCATGGCCAATCCACCTAACCAGCACATCTTTGGACTGTGGGAGGAAACTGGAACACCCAAAGGAAACCCACGCAGAGAATGTGCAAACTCCACACAGTCACTGGAAGCTGGTGTCAAACCCAGGTCCCTGGCGCTATGAGGCAACTGTGCTAACCACTGAGCCACCGTGCCATCTGTGCATTGAGTGTTATCAGTGATATTTTGCTAATGCAAAAGGAACCAAGGAAAATCTGTTTCACAGTGCCGTTTTTAAGGCTATAAATTCTCTATGCCATAATATTTCTGCTGTAATTGCACCCTGCTGATACGGTTGTATGTGAGTCAGTGATTTCTGCATCTCATTTGCATTGTTGGTGAAAGACATTGCCCTTGTGCCATGTGCAGCCCTGAAGGAAAGGAAAACAATCCAATGGCTAATTCACCTCAGGTCATTTCCACACAGCTCCTCAAGGCCAGCTTAGGAGAAGGAGGCATTGGCATAGTTCCCTGGATAATGTGCAATTGACCCACTTAGACTCTCTAGTTTAGCATTCACAAAGGTAACAACAGACGCTGTTAATCTGCTGTCTGAGTGTGTGAAACGTGAAATGACTTTAAACTTGACATAGAAGTGAATATAATAAAGGTCATTGTCATTTTGTGGACTGTTGTTCCGTGGAGATTAATGGAATGCCGCTTACTGTGGGAGAAGCAGATTCTTAAAGGAATTAGACCCTAATAAGTTCAGAACAGTAATTTTCCATTTGAATCATTGTAATTGCTATTATAATTGCATACGAGTACACTTGGACAAAAAGCATTCCCCACTAGAATAGACAGATAAACTGAATCATTTGAAAGCACTTTATTCGACAGTTATTGTCATTGACAAAATGTTCTGTCTGCTGTGCACACAGCTGATTAATACACCCGCATAACCACAATGTAATCTGATTGAATTTTATGAAAACACTGGGTCAGTGTCCTTCGCTAGGACCTACTTTGTATTGATTGATTTATTATAAATTGTTTGTTTGGAAACCCTAATAACATGTTCTGAAGTTCATTTATGGGAGCACTTCTGACCTAATGTACCACCTGTGATGATATTTTGTCCTTTTTTTTAGTGAAGAAAGGTTGAGACAGAGGTGGAAAGCAGTCTAATCTAAAACGAATGAACTAAACAGCTGGGGAGGCCTGGGTGCTTTTTTTGAAATTTGGAACAATAAAAGCAGCCTGAATGGGAGGGGTCAGGTTCCCACAGAGCTAGGATTTCTTTTTAGTTTCAGCCTTCAGTAGCAGTTGCAGCTGGAGTCTTGAAGCTGCATCTGGAAGCTGTTTTAACGCTCTCTGTTACAGCAAAAAGCAGGGTGTTCACTTCCTGCTGCTCGAATTGCATCTATTTTACTGAATTTGCCTTTGCCAAGGGTGTGTTTATGGGATATTACTGCACTGGAACAGTTATGTTGTTCCAATTCTTTATTTTCTTGTATATGAACAAAATTGTGTGAATAATGTGCGCTCTGCTTCAAGACTGGTAGTTTGACCAATCAAATTGCATCTGGAATGCAACACCTGACATTTGCCTTTAAAATAAGAAAAAGTTAGGGTCTAGGCTGTCTTCTTCATAAATTTTGAAGAGGTTTGGTCTGGTCCATAACACATCTTCTTCGAAGGAATCAATCAACCTGGACCATTGAGCACTGAAGAAGAGTCATGGGACTCAAAGCATTAACTCGATTTCTGTTTCACAGACACTGCCGAACCTAGTGAGTTTCTCCAACACTTCCCGCTTGTATTTCTCTATCACTGACGTCGGACTGCCGATGACTGTTAAGTGGGTTTTTGATGTCTTATTTCCTGTGGCACCTGCTGAAAGCAGTAACCTGCTCAGGGTTGACTTATATAAATGCTATTGACCTTCTAGCTGCCAGAGCCATTAAACATGAAGCCCAACCACTTTTCCCACCTGATGCCCAAATCTGCAGTCACCAGAGACCTGAACCCTGTTGATTTATTTTCCCGCAGTGATTTCGAGGCCAATAGCGATGCTTCAACAGACTGTATATACCAACCCAAGAACTAGAATCCCTCAAGTGCAGACAGAAGCCATTGGGACCATAGAGTCTGCACCAACCATCTCACACAGACCCACCACCCCACCCTTACCCCTTACACCCCGCATTCATCGTGGCTAATCCACCTAAGCCCGCACGTCTCTGGATTATGGGGGGAAACCGGAGCACTCAGCAGAAACCCACGCAGACGTGGGTAGAATGTGCAAACTCCACACAGACAGCCAGCAGAGTCTGGAATCGAATCCAGGTCCCTGGCACTGTGAGACACCAGTGCTAACCACTATGTCACCGTGTCGCCTTAAGGACAAGGAACAGATTTAGAGCATATGATGTTTCCATATGGAGCCTCCACCCCTTACCAATGCTGTCTCCCTTATTCTAGCAGTGGGTGACTTTAAATGAGGGAACCCCCCCCCCCCCACCAACTCCATTCACATCCATAACCTCTGAAATAACTCCACAGAAGCCGATATACTGTCAGCAAGTCATGCTTTATTTAAACGTGGAGAGTCCTTGACACCAATCTGGCTCCGTCAGAGCCAGCACTCAGAGTGAACAAGACGTCTGACACTTCTGTTTCTCTCTGTCAGCCAGGGCTCCCTGATTGGACCTGATCAATAGCCCCAGTCAGGGAACTCGGAGCCTCTGAGGTCCACCTGGGCTGACCTTATGGCAATCACTATGACCTCCATAAGCCTTTCCACAACAGACCTCATCGAGGAGGAGGTAGGTAGGTGGTGGGGTCACCATTCCACGTCCTCTTTCCAGATCAAATGCCCACCAGCTTTCAAACTGGCCATAGGGAAGGACAGAAGTTTCCGACCTGAGTGCAGCCAGCCCTTTGGGGATCAAGGCTATCAAAATTGTACTATCCAGTATTTTTCGTCATCTCAGTCCTAAACAGTCAACCCATTATCCTGATTCTGTTATTTCCTAGTCCTTCAACCAGGGGAAAAGGCATTGCAGCACCTAGCCTGTTGAGCTAATGTAGCTCAAAGTGGGGAAGAAATCTGAGTCTTTCCCGTCTTTATAACTGATCATTTGTAAAGAGAAGCACTTATCCACTCGGCTCTTTGCTAGAAGGTACAGCAAAAGTCTGCATTTATACAGGTACAAACGCTTCAGAAGTACACCATGTTGGGATTAATAATCTTTTCTGTCTCATTTTTCAAGGCAATTCTCTGCTTCTGAACCCATCAATGCAGCCTGACCTGACGGTGAGCAGGACATACAGTGGACCAATCTGCTTCCAGGACCCTGTGAACAAAGAACTCATGACCCAGTCACCGCTCTTTGACTCTCTGCCAGGGATCAAAGTTAAAGTACAAAGTTCTTTAATGGTTTCACTTGGAGTTGTAGATGGAGTAGAATATCATGGGAGGTTATCATCCCGGACTTACCCTCGTAATAGCAGAAGTGTTGACAAAATACATGCAAGAAGCAATGCACCAAGTTCTCAGCATCTCCCTGCTGCAATTACACAGGCTGAAAACAGAACTTCCGGCATATTTGGGTGTCTGGGTGGATGCCTGGAGGGACCAACGAAAGGTATGGAGCCAAGAACTTGTAACCTAGTTTCTCAATTGCTTTTACTTTAATTCAGACAATTGAGTGAAACTTCCTTTGACTTGCTGCTCTGTCATAACCTAAAGTTCAGTTCCTTATTTGGAAAGGTGTAAGTATGGATTTAAGACTGACCCTTGCCGTGTGTCCGAAAGGGGTTCACACATAACCAGCAGTTTCACAGTACGACACATGCTAAGGAGCTCACCTGGAACTCTCATTGAAAGAACATTATTCGCCGTGAAGCTGACATTATGTGCTCTGTTTCTGATATGGGACTTGAAATAACTCAGAGTCAGTTTTCCCTGGAGGGTCAGAGGATGAGGGGTGACCTTCCAGAAGTTTATAAAATCGTGAAGGGCATGGATAGGGTGAATAGCCAAGGTCTTTTGCCCAGGGTAGCAGAGTCCAAAATGAGAGGGCATAAGTTTAAGGTGAGAGGGGAAAGATTTAAAAGGGACATAAAGGGCAACTTTTTCACGCAGGGGGTGGTGCGAGTATAGCATGAGCTGCTGAAGGAGGTGGTGTAGCCTCATACAATTACAACATGTAAAAGGCAGCTGGGTGATTGTATGAATAGGAAAGGTTAAAAGGAATATGGGCCAAATACTGGCAAATGGGACTGGACTAATTTAGAACATCTGGTCGGCATGGATGAGTTGGACGAAGGGTCTGTTTCCATTCTGTACATCCCTACGACTCAATACTGCCAACTAAGCCCAGCTGTACAGCTCCACCCTTGATTGTTTGTTTCATATCTTCATGTACATTTTTCCCACTTTGTGGAATATGGGGAAGTGTTGGAAAGACCAGAAGGCTAATTGTCAATTTGTTTGAATCATGAAATGATGTTCTTACCATGACCAACATATCCTGGAGTACAACTTGAGCCAGGAACTCATATCTAGTGGCAGAGTATTTCTTGCTGAACCACAATAACTCCACTGAAGTCGTGTTATTCAGTGTCCATGAAATTCACTAAAGGAGATTTGAAATCCCAGAATGGGAAGGCAGATATTTCCTCGTGAGGACTGAACACCAGCCCTGGGCATTTTGACCCATTAGAGAACCTTAAAAAAAAATGTACTTGATCATTTTCTCGCCAGCAACTTATTGACATTCCAGTGCACAACTGATTGAGTTAAACAATGTCAGAGGTGTTGTCTTTTGGATGAAACATTAAGTGAAAGCTTTTTCTGGTCTGTTGGATGGAAGTAAAAGATCCCATGAGATTATTTCCAAGAAGAACAGCAAGTTGGTTCCATTTTCCTGATCAACACCTTTCCCTCACCAGCCTCATTTTTTTTAATCCTTTGGGTGTTACGGGCTGGCCAGTATTTATTGTCTGCCCCTAGTTGCCTTTGAGAAGGTGATGGCAAGTTGCCTTATTGAACCACTGCTATTGCTTGACACCCAGTGCCATTACGGAGAGAATTTCATGACTTTGACCCAGCGGTGGTGAAGGGACGACGATGTATTTTCAAGTCTGAGTGGCTCGGAGAGGAATTTGAAGGTGGTGGTGTTCCCATGTATCTGCTGCCCTTGTCCTTTTCGATGGAAGTGGTCGTGGGTTTGGAAGGTGCTGTCTGAGGAACTTTGGTGAATGTCTATAGTGCAATGTCTATATACACACTGCTGCTACTGAGTGTTGATAGTGGAGAGTGTGGATGTGGTGCCAATCAAGCGGGCTGCTTTGTGATGGATGTGTCAAGCTTCTTGAGTGTTGTTGGAATCACATTAAATTGAACGACCTGACCACACTCACACTGTTATTTATGGGAGCTTGCTGTGCACAAACTGGCTGCTGCATTTCCTCCACTACAGCAGTGACTGCATTTTTGACAAGTGTTTCATCAGCTATAAGATAACACAGTATGGAGCTGGAGGAACACAGCAGGCCAGGCAGCATCAGAGGAGCAGGCAAGCTGACATTTCGGGTCGGGACCCTTCTTCAGACGACCTGAACGTCAGCTTTCCTGCTCCTTTGATGCCGCCTGGGCTGCTGTGTTCCTCCAGCTCCACACTGTGTTACCTCAGACTCCAGCATCAGCAGTTCTTACTGTCTCATCAGCTATCAGATGCTTTGGGCAGTTAGGGGTAAACAATAACATGCTGGCCTTGCCAGTGCCACTGAAATATTGTAAACGGATAAGTAAAAGAATGAAGGCGGGGAAAAAGCACTGATCGCAAAGGTTTGAGGAATCCTGTGGGAAGCAACCAAGGACCATTTTAACCACTTCTCCCTCCCACCCTGCTGGATGGCTGGTATTAAAATTGACCACGGCAGAAGGTTGTGTTCAGTAAATAATTTGTTATATTGCTTGAGCGAGAAACATGTGAGAGATAGGATGAGATGGCGAGTCTGGGTGTGGGTTAATCTATCAGGCACAGCTGGACTTGTTCAGCCGAACGAACTTTTATTGTTCCTAAAGGATTTGTGTTCCTACCACAATAAATATTGTGAAATCTGCTCCAACAGTTAACAGCCACATTATTGTGGCTGAATTAGCTTTTATGCTGTGGCATATGGTTCTTCATATGTACATAGATGGTGAATGATTTGGTTCCTGTAGTTAACAAATGATCTGTACAGCTGTAATTGGAAAAGAAAGAAGTGAGTTGCGCTCTTAAAGAATGCATTTTAGAATACTTCTCACAGAAATCAACATCGTGCCCAAGAGCAGGCACTGTGTTTATTTACATCCACAATCTGTTGGCCACACTGTTTCTCTCAAATAAAAGATTTAAAAACAATATCTTGTCAACAAATTAAGGGATGCGCCCGCTGACCTACCGTACAGTGACTCCCTGTCGAACAAGATCTCAATCTTAAATTTTCACACGTTTTCATATTCCTCCGTTACCTTGTCTCTCCCTCTCTCTCTGTAAACAAATCTGGTTGTAACACCCACTCAGAAATCTGCATTACTGCTGTTGCTTCTCCGCAACTTGAATAGCTATATCATTGGCAACTGTACCTTGCTCTGAGGCTGGAAGTTTTGCGAATTCCATCTCTAACCCTCTCCACCTCACTGCCTCTCTCTCCTTTATGGCCAAGCTCCCTGCCAGTTGATCTACTGTCCCTTCGGGAAGGAGCCTGCCATCCTTACCTGGTCTGGCCTACGAGTGACTTCAGACTCACAGCAATGTGGTTGACTCTGAACTGCCTCCTGGCCAATTAGGGATGGGTAGTAAATGCTGGCCTGGCCAGTGACATCCTTTGAGTGAATGCTACAATAATAATGTGGCTCCTGACACATTTAATTTTGTTAATGCTCCTGTGAAGTGTGTTTGGATGTTTCACCATGTCAAAGGCATTTTATGAATATGAGTTATCGTTGGCTTGATAAACTGGCAAAGTCCACACTTTGCCTGTGTCTACAACATACATTTTCATGCTGTAGCCCCAGAGACTCACATAAGATTCCCAAATAGTTTGGTTCAGTCACCAGGACGCTGCATGATTCATTGTTTGATCACTCACTCATTTATTTCTGTCCTGATGCTGTTGAGAAGCTGAAAATGCCTTTCTAGAAGTTCAGGTGGGAGAGTTCAAGTCACAGAGTCCTCAGAATTCTGTCTGTTTTGCTCATAGTTCCTGTGTGAGCATGTGTAGGGGTTAAGTTAGCGCTGATGTGTGGTCTGTTTCTCCTCTGTTAATTAAGCACCGCACTTTTAACTTTCAGCTGACACTGGGGCTAAAGTATTGCTTATTTCTACCAAGTCTTGCCTACCTGCACATAGTCCCTGTCCAGTCCATTTGTAGATTACTGAGGAATTACAGTCTTACATTGTAGCCCCAATGGCAGCTGGCATCGAAAGGCTGCTGCAAAGAGACTGTGATCACAAGCAGGCACCCAGCTCATGGATTCGAGCGACCCAAAATGTTGAGTCTTGATTTCTCTCCACAGGTGCTGCCAGAGCTGCTGAGCTTTTCCAGCAATTTCCGTTTTTGTTTCTGATTACAGGTTTTTCTAGGTTTTTACTCAGTCATGTGTCACAGTCTGAGGGAAGTTGTCCTTACTGAAGTTTGCGGAGGCAGTCGGAAGTCAGGGGGGTCCTAGCACAGGAAGCCAAGGGCAGCTTCCCATACCAGTCCAAAGGATTGACCGCCAGGGTGATTTCAATGAGGGACCCAGGCTCCTGCAGCCCAGAGCTACCACATTCAGGGTGACGTACAGGCGCCAGATAGGGGTCTGGGAACTTCTCATCCAGGCATAGTGTGTTAGATTACTAAAGGGGCGAGCCAAGTTTAGTCAATTGGGTCCATCCATAGAAACTAAGGAAAATGGGGTTTGGTGTTGGGGTGAGGGTCGTGATGAATAAGAGGGGCCGCTGCTGTGGGAAGGCAGACCAGTTGTTGGGAATTTGGAGCTGCAGCATGGGGATCGAGGTGGGATGAGAATCATGAAGGGGGCAACTGTTTGTAAGGCGGGATTTATGGTACAGCATGGAGGCCAAGGGGTTTATGGGTTGGGGAATTTGTCCATGGTCAAGAACACCCTGGCTTCAAGGAGGGGACAATGTGTAAAGAATCATGACACGATCTTTCAGTCTTTTCAGAATCTGTCCATGACCAAGCAGGGCAGCTTTGGAATGCTAGTGCTCTTCCTCATGCCCAGAAGATTGCTGGTCATTTGGCGGATATCCAGCGAACGACAGGTTGTGAGGGACACCCATGGAGTGGGGTAGATCGTTAATGAGGTGGGTTCAGTAAGATACGGTGAGAAATCATGCTCAACCTTGAGGTGAGAAGTCCTCCTAGCAAATTGCACAGTTCTCCCTGAGCATAATAAAAATAATATTCAGCCCATTTTCAGATTAGATTGATTGACAGCACTGCCACAACGTCCACCTATAATGCTCAGTAGCAGCGGTGTGTATTATCTACAAGATGCACTACAGAAATTCACCACCCAAGATCCTTAGGCACCACCTTCCAAACCCACGAACACTTTCATTTCGAGGGACAAGTGCAACAGATA